ATGCACAGCGTTCGTGGGGCTGGGTGCTTCACAAGCCCCCCAGCCTGCTGGAGCAGCCAGCACTTGGTGGCTTTGTGGAAGGCCGGGAGGGTAGTAAGGGTCCGGATCTCCATGGGAGGTCATTCCAGAGGGCTGGAGCTGCAACAGAGAAGGCTCTCCCCCGGGGAGTCGCCAGCCGACATTGGCTGGCGGATAGAATCCGGAGGAGACCTAACCTGTGAGATCTAATCGGTCTATGGGAGGTAATCGGCAGGAGGCGGTCTCTCAGGTACCCAGGTGGGTAGCACTCGCAAAACCAAACCAAATTAAATCAAAATACTGATCTATGTGGTTGCTAAGAGTCAACCCTAATTTGATGGCACAATCAAATAATCCCTTTATTTCCCAGATGTTCACATAAGCGAATGTCTTCCCCCTCCCCTACACCCTTATCTTCTTTTTCTAACACATGCCCTTTTTATTTATTTTTCCTTTGATGGTTTTCAACAGTGCCATTGGAATTCAGATGCTACTACAATCAAAACAAGAGGAAATAGGTATTCTTTCATTGCTATGTTCAATCAGTCCCTAGAAGAGAGAAGGTATGCGAGATCCTGCAACCAACTGGGGCCAGAGCAGCTACTGGAATAAAACAAACTGCTTTCACTATGAAAGGTGACATGTATCATCCATTTCGACATTCAGGAAGTGGTGAATAGTGTACTGTCGATGAGCCAAGGAGACAGTGTGGATCTGCTTATTGTCTCAGATTATATCCTTACAGTGTCTACTGTCCAAAAAAAAAGGAGTCACTGAAAGAACAAAGGTTAGACATTCTGAATTAGTTAAAAAAGACAAAAAATAGCATTGGAAGAAATGTTAACTACAGCAATTTTTTTCCCCATTCAAGGCTGGAATGCATTTTTATTGCATATAAAACTAACTTTGGAGAATAGTTTTTAATTGTTATCTCTAAAGTAATAAATATGATTTTATTTTTAAAAAGAAGATTAGAATGTTAAAGCTGCCAACTCTCTACATCCGTGCTTGTGAATCAGTTTCAGTGGAATTAAAAGTAGACCTACATTTTTTTATTTATAAATAAAGCATTCTCTTCAGATTCATCAATGTACCTTCTTGAACAGTGTAGCTAGTACAGGAACACTGTAAGGCTCAGCAGTTGAGTTAAGTCCAGAGCTGGGTTCCTACCAGTTCGCACCTATTTGGTAGAACCGGTTCGTCAAATATATCAAACCGGTTAGAAGAGGTTCCACCAATGGACCCGAAAAGTAGGCCACACCTACAGAAGAGTTCCAAATTTTTTTGAAACCCACCACTGGTCCTTGGATATGATTATTCTACACTATCATACTCATATTTATAAAACTCAGTGCCTCTGTGAAAGNGAAAAAAAAAGCACCTTGGGAACAACCATGACCTGGATGATTGAGAATCTCCATAGACATAAAGAAGAAATGGATTCATCAAGAAACAAATACATCACATTTATCACTGCTAATCAATCCAGTAGCAGAGTTGTGGGGATAGTCTAATTCAGGAGTCTCCAACCTTCCTGACTGAGGAATTCTGGGAGTTGAAGTCCACAAGTCTTAAAGTTGCCAAGGTTGGAGACCCCTGGTCTAATTGACATCACATTCATTTCAATTTCCTGCAATGGTGAAAATTACAGAGTTTTAATCTTAAGATTTGCCAAAATAATTTTCAGCCACTTTGGTCTAGTGGTTACCGGGCTAGAAAGATAAAGACCTTGAGTTCTAGTTTCCTTCTTAGATAGGAAAGCTGGCTGAGTGACTGGGTCTGTTACTCTCTCTCAGCCTAACCAGTTCACAGGGAGGTCATTGTGGGGGAAATAAGAGGAGGAGTGTTAGATAGGTTTGCCATTTTGAGTTGTTTATAAAAATAATAAAGGTGATTAAATAAATAACCATACTAACAAGATTCTGAAATGCATACTTCTCCACTTCTATAACATCAGTTTTTCATTTACACACTTTTAGCTTTCCTTTCAGCCTTTGCTAACAAAACTAGCATTCTCCTGTACTTCTCTAAAAAGCTTTCTCCAACATCTAACATGTCTTGTATTTGCCTATCCTTCCTTCAATCTACATTTCTTACCAAAGCTCAAACGTCTGATGTGGGTCTGACTTGCAGCAATTGGACTGATGAGCACAATTATACCTTTTCAAAGGTAGCCAATTACTAATTGAATTTCCTGTCTTAAAATGAATGTTTGGCTTTGTAGATGAGATTTTAAACGTCTCTTCAAATTAAGTCTTTTGAATGAGTTGATTTTAGTTGGTTGACTTATTATGAATGTTTTAAAGTTCCTAGTATTAATGTGCTGCTCTCATGGCTTTGAGCATTTTAAAACTTTTGAAATACTGCATACATTACTTTTGCAAACTTCATTAAAAAGGACATTTAAATAATATTTAACTTTCCTCAGTCCAGAACTTCTGCTCTCCTGTGTTTGTAACTCTGTACTTTGACATGAGTATTGGCAATGATATTGGTGTTTTGAACTGATGTTTTCTTCATTGAAGCTTCTATTAATTCTGTTTTATGTAACTGCTTCCTGTCAGCAGTTAAAACATCATTATAAGTACAAAAATGAATGATCAAGATGAAACCAGCTGGTCCCATTTTTTTCTGTGGAAATGTAGATACTAAAATTTAAGTCTAAGAGATCTGTAAACTGAGTCAGGGGACCTTTCTCAACTTACACTTACACCTAACCATAGCACAATATGGAAGTGCACCATCTTATGTTTTTTGCCATCTTCTCATGACTTCACCTTCATTTATATCTGACATAGCTTAACATTTCCACAACTGTTCCAGGTTTATAATCAAGTTCTACCCTTAACTCTGGGATGGGCACAGCTTCTCCCTAGTTTTTGTGCAATTTCCTCAGAACTATTCATCTCTAAGCAGGAGGAGAATTCATTTTTTTTTNGCCACTCCCATCCGGTCACATGGGTGGCAAGCCACTCCCACAAAGGAGGCCACACCCAGAGAGTAGGTTCGAACAATTTTTGAAACCCACCACTGGTTAAGTCCCAGTGCATCATGATACTTAGACAATATCCACACAACATCCAAATCTGAATACCAGAGGAACATGCACTTTCTGACATCCAACCAGCGGATGTTGCTTGTGCTCCTTTAACCAGAGTGTTATGTTAACATTTCTACCACGCCTAAAAAATGTCATAGTTTTTAATGTAGGGAAATCAGAATTTCCAATCCTGAGGCAAGTTACACATTTGTTTTCTGTAAGGGCAAATTAGTGGAGTTGAATTTGGTTAAGAGTTACATTTACAAAACTAAAGATGACCGAAGTTGTGTATATAAGATGATGCTGTGTACTTGGGCTTTTTGGTGTAGCATATTATACAAATAAAGCATGCTGCAATTCTCCACGGTTTCCTCTGTTGAGCTGAAGGAAGCAAAGGCTTGGCTTTGAATAGCAGACTCCTAGGTTCATGAGGTAATAATGGCAGCTGTGGAGGCATTTCCAGATTATTTTCTGTTTCTCACTTCTCCCCCATTCCCTTTTTTTGGTACAATTTTTAAAATTAAACCTGGCAATAATTTGTTGATGCAATATCTCCTCGTTCACTATTTAGCAGTGAAATCATGGGCCCTCAAAATGGCAAAGGCCATTTTGTTACTGCAAACTTTCTTACATCCCACAAACCCCAGGAAGCTTTGGATCCTCAACTATTTGTATCTTCCGCCCATTTGGAATGAATTGTTATTTTTCAGCAACAAGTTTGTCCTTTGCTTTTTGTTCTAAATACTTTTGTGGGAGTCCTTGAAATTCTTTGAAAATGTCAAGAGCTTTTGGCTTCAGGCAAATGTGCAAATGACTGCCAGAACCAGATGTGGGCTTTTTAGTACAAATGAAAAATTTTGAATTAGAACCAGGACTCAAGAAAGAGAGGGCCAGAGATGTCTTGGCTGTGGGCCTGATATATGTAGTCACAGAATATAAGCGGTAGCCGAAAGGCAAAAGCTTGTAAGAAGTTACTGGACCTTTCAGGAGAAGGCCAAGCAACCGAGAAAAATTATTAGGAAAAGGAGAATATATGATGAATCTCCTGATGCTTCTGCTGTTTGCGTTGCTGCTGACAGTCCCCTATTGTTGTGAAGGAGGTAAGGGAATATGACATTTAGGCTGTGATCTTCTCTAATTCTGTGACATGCCTCAGACCTACAGTATTTCTTCATGCGTATCTCGGTATTAGCACTTGGATCCTTAATATGAGATCTGCTATAATAAATCTGAAAGAAGCCTTGACTTTCTCACTTAAGAAAAGCGATACACAGTCCTCAGTACAAATGATGAATGAGCATACATCCCATCATCATTTGAGCAGTCTTTTTCTCTTATATATGAGGAAAAAAGAACCTGATGTGTTCAGATTATTTAGTGTCAAGATAACATTCACAATGAAATTATATCCAAATCCCTTTTTTCCTGACGTTTTAAAATAGAATTTTTTTTAAAAAAATGAGTTTGATAGATTGAATAGAATTTTTGTGGCAATGTATAAAAGAAAAAAATTCTTTTTCATGTCCCTTTTCATAATTTTTCAGTTTTAAAATTTAGAATACAGAAGAAAGCAAGCATCTCATATAATTTGCACAAATAGGCTTAATTAGAAAGCCCTGAAAAATGTAAACTGCTAAAACTTTTTCTGAGTATATTTTAAATATTGTTTAAAAATTGTTTAGACAACGATTTTGCCAATATTTTTAATGTAAAAACAAGTACTTGTGTGTTTTATGTGTTGTGCCTAAATGAGTGGGGATACAATGTCTCTGAGTTATACTAGATATCTCATACTATCTTGTCTTTTTTTAAAGCTTCATCCAACGCTTTGGATGAAGGTAAGTAATTCCCCATTACAAATCCTAATAGATCTGGTGTGTGTATGGGTAAAAGATAGAGGAGATAGATAGATAGATAGGTAGATAGATAGATAGATAGATAGATAGATAGATAGATAGATAGATAGATAGATAGATAAAATTAGATTAGATTAGATACCACCTCTATGGGTATTTGTTTATTTATTGTTCATTTGATGACTGTTTTTTTATCCATCTCTTTAGAAAAGACACTGGCAACTTATTGAGAAAGGGATGACAATGCAAACTATCTGAGAATGATGGGACTCAATTGGGGGAAAGTTTCCCTTCTTCCAATACATTAGCAAACCCTTGAACTAGATGGGGGAAAGTTAAGGGTTCCTTCATTTTCCATGTGTTTACCAATTATGGTGACAAATATTACTACTGTTTGTAATTTTTGAATTTTCAGAGAGCCAAATAACATGGAGAAACTTTACAGGAAAGCTTGTGGTCCCTAGTAGCTAGCTTAACACACATCTCTTTTAGGTGTTAAAAGGGACCTGGCACATACTCCATTTGCCTATTAGTCCCTCGATGAATACATGTCCTGTTGGCTAGACACATAGGAATATTTTTGCCAGATAGTCTGGCAAAAACTAAGAAAAGTTCTCAGAACGTGGTGACCAAGTCAGACTGTTAAAGCAAAATAACTCTCCTAGCACCTACCTGATTTATTGTAGCATAAATTTTGTGGATTAGAGTTGCTTCCTCAAATACTGTTTAATGAAGGCTGATCTAAGTCTATCATACAAGATCTCACACGATGTCTCCATCTTTAAAAGGAGGGGAAAAGAGAAGCATTTGGCATACATTTTCTTTGGCCATTCAACAGAATTTAAATGATTTTTCTCCTCCAAAATACCACTGACATTTTTTTTCTATTGAAAGGTCTCAGCAATTCATTGACAATGCAGAATATTAGACCTTTATCTGTGATACTCAGTGATTCCTGATATTTCATGTATGACACAAGATACAGGTAGTCCTCAATTTATAATGATAATTGAGTCCCGGTTTTCCATTGTTAAGCAGGGCTGTTGTTACGTGAGTTGCTCCCAATTTTAGAATCTTTTTTGCAATGGTTGTTAAGAGAATCACTGCAATTGTTAATTGAATCATATGGTCTTTAAGCTAATATGGATTTCCCCATTGATTTTACTTGTCAGAAGGTCCTAAATCATGATCACAGGACCTGAGGACATGGTACCATTGTAAATACATGCTGAGTGCCAAGCAATCAGATTTTGATCATGTGCTGTGGGGACATGCTGTGGTGATTCTAAGTGGGGGGACTGATTGTAAGTCACATTTTTCACTGCCACTGTAACTTTAAATGGTCACTAAGTGAATAGCGGTAAGTTGAGGACTACCTCTAGTGTACAACACTGAACACTAATATGACATGGCATATTAATGTAATTTTTGAATTCTCTGGTTCAGGGAATGTTTTCACAATGATGACTGCTAGACAGAACCACTGTATTTACATTTCCTTTCGGAGAAGACATGTTGCCCAATAAATGGGCCATATTGAAGCCCTAAAACACTACCACTTGCCAATCCTTTATATCTGGACTTTATAGAAGCTCCATATCACCAAATAATCAGTCTTGATCCTATTTTTCATACTAATAAATTCTTCATAGGTTTTCAGAGAATTCCTGTTTCTTGAATGTAGAAATGGTATTCTATCATAATCATATCCCTGGATAGATAGTTGGACTGTGAGAAGTTGGAGCTTTGAGCAGAACTGCAGGGCTTTCTTTCAGTCAATGTCCTCTGACCAAACTCCCCATCTGGGGAAGGCTTTGCAAGCCTAATGTTTGCTTGCAGAGGAATATACTTTGTACTTTGGAGCTAAGGGCCACAACATTCATGTAAGCAGAGTTGGATAGGAGATGTTTCAGGAGTTTTATTTTTTAATTGCTACTTCTATTTTACCATTTAAACCGTAGCTTTCACCTGCTTCCTACTTCAAAAAGACAGGAGTCTATCTTTAGTTTTCAGCAGCAAGCCAGAAAAAGGGAACTCAGGGTTTCATACGTTCAGTTTAGAGGAGGTTCTAAACTAAATAGAAAGTGAGATAATTCCTATAAACAAGATTTTTGAATTATCAAACATTTACAAAGTGCAAAAGTTACACCTTGTTTGTTCCTTATTTCCTACTCTACTTAGCGTTTAATCTTTAATATCCTATCATCTGTGTCAATAATTTTTCTCTAGTGTTTTATTTTTATTGTTTTATTTATGCTATGTTTCTGCGTTCTTCTATTCATTTTTGCATGCCCAAGCAGCTTGATACAAGGCTGTCCTATTCCTATAGTCTAATATCCTTTATAGTTCTTTACATGACCACATACAACTGTTTCCCACACCACACAACTCTGTCCAAAGTCACTTACCTGGTTCTTGATATCTTCTATTACTGGGAGAGATTCAGGCAGATTTCTCTTTGCTGCTCTGGGCTTCTAAGGGATAATGATGCTAGACTTTGCTCCTGGGTAGAAGCCTTGAGGGATTAACAATTTTTTTCCCCTGTGCTTTGCTTGTGCCAACTTCAACTGCTGCTCTGGGCCTCTNGTGATGTCTTGCTTCTTGTAACTTCGGTTTTTTTAATCACTTTTATCACTGGATCTCAGATAGATGCTTCTTTCTGCCCCTTGGATCTTGCACTTTTAAATGAATCAAACTGGCTTTCTTTTTTTAAAAAAAAGACATCTAAATTTCATAGTACAACAATTTGCTGCTTCTGGGCTACAAATGTCTGATTTCATTTATGTTTGATAGCTCTGGAAAAATGCGATTAAATTTTGCAACGTAAAATTGATAGTTGCTATACTTGATGCATTTTTCTAGCAACAAGTAGGGTAAAGTGGGGTTGTTTCCCACAGAAGCAAATTCTTAATCGATAATAAAAAAATATTATCTTAAAATGCTGGGAACAGAACAGCAGCAACGTACATATGCATATTTTTAAAGGATAATAAAAACCAGTGCAAAAAAATAGTCCGCGAGCGCCTTCTGCCGTCCCTTTGGGATCTAACCTCATGCCTGACCCAACCGGCGCCCTCTCGCGTTTTCACGACTGCCCTTCCCCTTGTGACGGAGAGGCCGCACGCGGAGCCCGCGTCGCTCTGAGCCGCTGAGCGGAGAACTGGTGAAAAAATAATAATGGGCGTTTAACGCGAGGAGGCGCAATCGAGCTGCGTCGTTGCCATAGAGATAGGAAAAGCGCTTTAGCTGTTCGGTTTAAGGCAGCGCCACTTCTCTGATTTAATCCGCAGAGTATTGTAAAATACTCCGCGTGGGACTCGAGGATCACGTTGGAAGTATCGAAATAATGCAAGAGCAAACATATAATCTCTCTTAGAGAAGATACCTCCTGATTCTTTTGTGTTTAACACCAAACTGATCTTTTAACGAAATAAAACATTTTAGGATAATGGTTAATGGTTCACAAATACACCGAATCGATTTGTTCTTTGTATAAAAGCAAAGGAAAGATGCTAATAGGGCCCAGGGGGAGGGGGACACAGTTTCCTGGGGCTGGAAATTTGGGAGCTTTGTTTGAGGCAAAGTCCCTCTGTCAGAGATGGGGGACAAGAGGAAAGATGCTTCCTGAATTAAGTTTGATAACTGCAAACTCGCACATGAGACTGTTGAAACTTAGGAAATTGCTGACCGGAGCTTTTTGCAAGGGTAGGGGAAGCTACAAGGAGAGATTGCAAGTGGTACTTTTCCAACAATCTTTCCTTGCTTTGTCTAATTGCAGTAGAAACATGTTCCAGCAGTCTTCTTTTGTTTTGGCTATGTGCTTGTGACATTTAATGTACTTCATTCAGTCCATGCCTGAAGCAGCCTTAAATAGTCTTTACCTGGCCTTGGGTTATGGGAGTGATTTCCCCTTTATCCAAATACTGATTTTGTTGTAAAGCTAATCTGATCCACTTCACTGAATGGTATGTTAATGGTGCAGTCAGTGACTTCCACAGAGTGAAGTTACCTTATTTGCCACCTGAAGCTGATGCAGGAACAGATTTTTCTGCTTTGGGTAGCAGAAATGTCTTCCCCTGCCAGGGCTCTGACAGCTCTTGGCTTCATGTCATTTTTTAAAATCATCAGCTGGGAAATGCAGGGTAGGGTGGGCAGCAGATTGCCTAATGAATTATGAGAAACAGAACTAACTTTTTTGGGGGGAGAGGAGGTTCATGCACACTGTTATTTTTTTTAAAATTTGCTTATAAAATACAAAAACAAATAATAGGAAAAATAGGGGAGGGAAAGGAAAAGGGAAGAGTGCAGAAAAGAAGGGAAAAGGAAAGAAAAGGCATTGATTTCAACTCCGTTTGATGCAGTATAAGATAATAACATACAACCTCAACTTTTTACTTTCACATAGCCATTTCTATTGTAGAAAGTTAGCACCCACCCCTCTTCTAAAAAAATGACATATTCTAGGAAATATTAAAAAGGCAGAATATTATATTTCTCTGGGTGAGAAATGGAGGAACATGTTTTTCAGGCAGGAAGCAGACTCACTCTTAATAGCCCCTACCCTCTTCAATAGCCCCCAGCAGATGTCAGCACTTAAGAGCTAAAGAGATGCTAGGTCTATTCATAAGCAAATACCCTCGCCCAAGATCCAACATAGGTAGGATTACCCCTCAGCTACAATAGGAATTGCCCAAAGCCACTTCCTTACATCACCTAGCAAGATTCAACCAAGCCTGGGACATAGACAGCCTACAGAGTTAGCTAAGACCTCTGCTCCCTATGAGTTTGACAGCCAATAGGGTTCTTGCCCTTGCCACAGGAACAGGAAGATCACGTTCAAAGCCCAAAAGAGGGTATAAATAACATTCACTCTCCACTTCATGTGTTCAGCTGTCCAGGACCTAAAACCCACGTGGACCTGTTCACCATTAAACCATTCTTCCAAGCAGCCTCCCTGTTTCCAATGCCTTTCTCCCCACTTG